TGAAGTGGTCACTTTCCAGGCAACTCCTTCTTTTGCAGGTTCTTAAGACAGATATCTAACAGTCAATATGCCAGAAATATCTTGGAGGAGTGTTTTGTGAGACCCAGCACAGCATTAGCAAAGTGAAACTTTCACACTGATATGATTTATAATACAATTTAGACATTAGCATCACATTGGAGAAAGCTTAATTATAGATAGGTATGTATTCTGCCAGGACAGCTGTTGTCATCACAGGGACCTGGGAAGTGGGTAATAGTAGATAGAAACAAAAAGACTCTAGGTTGTCTTCAAGAATGAACGACTGTTATTTTTTCCTCACTGCTGTTTATATATGATTTAACCATCTAATAGAGATCTCACTACAAGCAGAGCTTGAGAAAGGATATCTTTGTTCCTCTTATCTGAGTTCCTCCTTCTACACATCCTCCCCTTGTGGCCTTGTTTTGCCCTTGAGGTTATTCCTCATAGAATCTATCTTTTGCCTGAACTTTTCCCCTTGTCAGGGGACCATATGAGTGTCAGTGTTTGATAAAGGAACTGCAGACCATCTGGACCCCAACAATTCTGCCTCTGTTGAATGGAAGGGTCAGCACTTATGTGATAGTGTGAATGCAATTGGCCCCCATAAACCCATAAGGAGTGGCACTATTAGGAGGTGTGGTTTTGTTGGCGTAAGTGTGTCACTGTGGGGTGGGCTTTGAGGTCTCATTTGCTCAAGCTCTGCTCAGGGTGATAAAAAGTCCACTTCCTTTTGCTTTCTGATCAAGATGAAGCCAGCACCATGTCTGCCTGCACACTGCCATGCTCTCAGCCATGATGATAATGGATTGAACCTCTGAACTATAGGCTGCCACCACAATTAAATGTTTTTCCTTAATAAGAATTGCCATGGTCATAGTGTTTCTCCAATCGACAGAAACCCTCACTACCACAGGTTAAATACATGGAATTTTTTCTGTTGACCTACAGATTCAATGTCATTCCAATTAAAACCACAGCCAAAGGGGCTGACAGCCAGGCTGGGGCCAGAGTATCACACCATCCATTGTATCTGTCACCACTACATGGGGTGTGACAGGCACCCTCAAATGAGTACCACAAACATCTTCAGTGGCACCAATCATGGCTCCCAAAGTGAAGACTTGCTGTACCTGACTCCAGCACATGGGGTAGTTCCAATCACCCACAGCAAATGTAGAGTGACAGGTGACATAGGACTCCACCTGTAAGTTCCATGCATGGAGTCACTCACCAGAATCCTGAGTGCACAAGGAAGATGCAGGGCCCTTCACAGATACCAACAACCCATAGCCCTATCTGTTTGTGAGGTCCTCTGGGTTCTGTGTAATTGCAGAATCCTGATCAACAAACAGGTTCAAGATCTTTTGTTCAGTAGCCTTCTGAGGAGATATGTAGGAGGCCCCATAACTTGAGGAAGACATTCTTAGAGCCCCATGCACCAAATGTATTTTGAGCTTTTGGAAATAAATTATACTTAACTTGCATCATTGTGCAAATCAGCTTTCCATTGTTTGACAGACACATGAGACAAATGGCTTGAAAGAAGCAAAGATTCAGTTGGATTCCTAGTTTCAAGTGAAAGATCCCCAGACCCCTAAAGGCCTCAGGAGGAGCCCCCAAGACTCAGAAACCAGACCAAGAGCTGCAAAAGCAAGAGGGTTTATTGAACAAATGTGCATTCGGGTGTCAGCAATATCAGGAAGCTGCACACCCCAGCAAGTGTTACAGGCTCCTTATATAGGAAAAAACTGCAGATCAGCATACAGGCAAGGGGCACAAAGTGATTGATTACAAAGTATGATTTCATGTTAGAGTGGTCACCCAGGTGTGACCTGCTTTTCTACAAAGGAAAAACCACAGAACATACCTTGGAAAGTCCTTGATTGCCTGTTGGCCAGCCAGGTGTGACCCAAAGAGGATTGTCTTGGCAATTGCCCCTGTCTAAACCATAGGATGTGCCTGGGGTTGGGGCCAACTGCCTTGTAATGGGCCAAGGCCTGTGGGAAACTTCTCTCTGTGAACTAAAGTCTTTTAAAACTTTTTCTCTCAGCAAACTAAAATATTTCACAAGGATATCAATCCACAGAGAGTTGGTTCCCTTGTTTGGGGTCTGTGGCAGGGAGGAGAGAATGGTGGGAAGTTCATGCTATAGCAAAGCTGCCCAGTTAGCAGCAGAAGACAGGAGGGCAGAAAAGGGCACCTGGGGTCCCTATGTGCCCTTCAAGGACATGCCTAACTTCTTTCTGCTGAGTCCTGCCTCCAAAGGTTACCATCCACATCACACTACAGGCTGTGGGAAAGCATTTATTACTTGAGTCTTTCAGAGATACTTACAATCCAGCTCATAAGCTGTGGGGACTGCAAATTTCTAACCCCAGCACTCGGGAGGGTGAGGCAGAAGGATGGCAAATTGGAATCCAATCTGGGCTTCCAAGCAAGTTCAAACCAAACCTAGGATACGGAGTAAGACTCTGTCCCAACACCTTCTAAGTAATCCCACGAGATCAATTCCTTAAAAATAGGTTATTATGCCGGGCGTTGGTGCGCATGCCTTTAATTCCAGTACTCGGGAGGCAGAGGCAGCCAGATCTCTGTGAGTTCGAGGCCAGTCTCATCTCCAGAGTGAGTGCCAGGATAGGCTCCAAAGCTACACAGAGAAACTCTGTCTGGAAAACCAAAAAAAAAAAAAAAATAGGTTATTATGACAATATTGTAAATGCTGTGCCCTGTCATTTCCAGGGACAGCCCTTGAACTTGGCAGAGCTGTGGCCAGTCAGCAGGTTAAGAGCAATCATTGCAACTGTATGCCAGGTTGAAGAAATTCAAAGTGTTAGACATCTACTCTAACCAATGGAATCTACACAAAGAAATATCTATCAAGTGGGAAAGCAGAATACTGAGATTTTTATGACAAGTGTAGAATTATTTCTTGAGATAACACCTTACAACATTCACCAAGGTAAAAACAATATTTTCAGCAAGGTTATATTGTAATTGTGAAGTACTGGCTGTACTTTACAAGAGAATTGTGGCCAGGTCTGTCAGTGTGCCACTGATTGGAATGTAAAGCAGGTTTTGATAACAAAAGAATTATAGAGACATTCATTCTCTTGAAGCCACAACTCATATCCATGTGGCACTAGGGATGGAGCTCTGTGGCAGAGCATTTATCTAGAGTGCACATGGCCCCAGGTTCAAACCCCAGAACAAAGGCAAACACATACAAATTCACAGTAAAGTTTAGTGTTTTTTTTATTTAACATTGGCTTATAGTTACTCACCCATCTTAGACAAGGAGGTTTTTCCCTGAAGGTCCATGATGTAAAGCTAGACCATTTGTACTAGTTCTGGAGGGAATGTGGGTAGTTGGAAATGTCAAAAGGAATCTTATACAGTAAACAATCAGAAAATATTATGTAGCACACTCTTAATACAACGTTTGTTATTATTTCTGAACACAGTTTTTAAAGTTTTTTTTAGTTTTTTTTTTATTTTATTAGTTCAAATTAGGAACAAATTGCTTCGGATGTCAATCCCTTCTCCCTCTCCCTCCCCTCCCCCCCAACATCCCACCTGCCCCTAGCCATTCCCGCCTCTACTCCCCAGTCAGGGTAAGGCCCTCAAAAGTGCTCCCCAACGTCTACTACATCATCCTGGGCCAGGCCTAGGCCCTACCCCATGTGTCCAGGTCAAGAGAGCATCCCTTCACAAGGGATGGGCTCTCAAAATCCTTCTTTTATTTTTAAGACCTTACATATTTAATACAGTGCATTACCTCTGTACAAATGGAAAAAAATTAAGTTCAACATTTCTAGACCAATATGGCTGCTAATTTTTGTACAGTGCCAACTCAACACGGTAAACTGGGACACTTTAAAGTTTATTTTTTAACTTTTCATTTGATTGTGAGTGTGTGTGTGTGTGTGTGTGTGTGTGTGTGTGTGTGTGTACATATGGACAACCTGTGTGAATGTATTAACAAAAACCAGAAATGTGTCAGAATGTACTGAGAATAGATTTCTCTGCAGTTGTGCGCTCTGGGTAACAAAGAAGTCCTCTGGAACAGGTATCTGGAAGAACAGGAAGTGCCCTTAACCACTGACTCATGTCACCAGTCCCTAACATTTATTTTTATTGATGAGTATCTGTGTTTCTGTGTGCATGTGTATGTCCATGTCAACAGAAGCTATTAGAAGACATCAGATCTCCTGCAGACAGAGTTACAGGCAGTTGTAAGCCACCCAACACAGGTGCTGGAACAAACTTAGGTCCTCTGGAAGACTAGCAAATGCCCTTAACACTGAGGGTTCGCCAGACTTCAACATCACATGATGTTAGAATTGAGACACAGAATGTAAAATTCTCTTATGAATCTGGCTTTCCAAGGCTCTGTTTTCTCTAAGCGCTGAACCAGGCTACTAGGAACTTTGGTCTGTCTGTAACTGAAGTACAGTCACAAAATCTGCAGTCAATCAGTAGGAAATACACAGATTTTTATGCAGAGCTAAGACTCAGACTTCAATCTCTGCCCAGCACAAGATGACTTGGAATTAGATTCCTTACAATGGAGCTAGCAGCACTTCTCTTTGGGGTGTCCGTTACTTGGCCAAGTGAAGAAACCTAGGACTGATTGCACAATGAGGCAATGTGCCAGTCTGTGGGTTCTGCATGTTGAAGACTCCAGACTCCTGACTCTGCAAGCTCCACCCACAGGGCTGCTCTATATGTATGGGACCAAGTGCAGCTCACCCATCATCCCCGATTTCCAGTACAACCAGCACTGTGTTCTCACAGGAACTACAACATAGACTGGGTAAGATGCTGAGCTCTGGGATTGGGACAGGAGGGTCAGGGATGGAGCAGTGTCAGGAGAAATGGAACTGTGAGCCCACAGTGCCAGCAGAGGGCCTTTAGGAGGAGACAGGAAAAATAGCCAAGAGGGGGAGTAGTTACTTCTCTTCTGTTCTCACAGGACCATGGGTGTGAAGCTGCTTGAGTCCCGACTTTGTCTCCTGCTGCTGCTGGGATTTGTCATAATGGTTGCCTCTTTCCAGATCCCACCGGGTTTAACCCCTTCCCAGTGGTTTGAAATTCAGCATGTAAATAATAGAACCAATCTCCGATGCAATCCTGAAATGAGGGTAGTTAACGGATACACAAGACGATGCAAGAACATAAATACTTTTCTTAATACAAGTTTTGCTGCTGTCGCTCGTGTGTGTGGCGAACCAAATACTAATTGCACTAGGAGTCCTGGTACAAATTGTCATAACAGTTCAGCTCCAGTATCTTTAACATACTGCAACCTTACAAGTCGAGGAAGTCATTATACACAATGCCAATACCAAATGACGCCAGCAACGATGTTCTACAGAGTGGCTTGTGACAATAGCACCCCACAAGACAATGGTTCCTATGCAGTGGTTCCAGTTCACTTGGATGATATATATTAGCTCCAGTACCAGCATTTTGCACCTTCCTTCATCTGCTGCTTCGATGATCAAGGTAGTGAAGAGCCACTTCCTCTGTTTGCTCTGCCATCAGCACCTGTCCTGTGAAACCTGTCCCTGATTCCCTTTGAATTTACCTGAACAGATCTTTTCTATTCAATAAACAGCTTTGCATACTCATCTGGATCTCTTGAGTATCAGTGTGTGTGTGTGTGTGTGTGTGTGTGTGTGTGTGTGTTTCTGGGTATACGTGTGTGTGCATGAGTGCCTTTCTGTCTGTGTGCATGGGTGTGTGCATGGGTGTGTTTGTATGTTGAGACATGTCCTCATGCTCACATAACAAGCACTCTACCAGTTGAGCCATCTACCCAGTCTCTGGGAACAAATTTATGTATGAGAAGAGACAGACATCTTTCCAGAAAGTTCCTACAGGGCATTGTCCCTGAAGTTTGAAGTTTTTCTGTGGGAAAGAAGTGACTGGAAGAGGGGACCAGAGAAGAGGAATCTCTCCATGAGGCTATTCCATGCCCCTCCCCCTGCATAGCTGTCCTCAGTGGTGAACTGTGAGACCATTCCACACAGCCCGGGAAGGCACAGATGCCTGAGGCTTAGTGTGAAGCATTTTCTACACACTGACTGGGAGCCTCTAAAGGACAGGACAGATGCTCCATTTTTTTTTTTCTATGGTTTAGGACAAAACCAGCAATTAGAGGACTTGGTGCCATTAGTCTCCGTATTTAAAACAGGAGACAAACAATGTCTTATTCTATATAGGCAGACAAGAAAAAAAAAAAGGAGGAAATCAACATTCATTAAGAGTTTCCTTTTATCAGGGAAGGAATAATAATTCCATTTTGCCACGATCATGCAAGCCCCCATGCATCATTTAGGATTCTTCGAAGTTTGTTGGTGAGTGTACACAAGCCATGTATGTGTGTGGAGGTCAAGGACAATTTGCAAAAGTTCCTTCCCTCCTGCCACCATATGGGTTCTGGAGCTCCAGGCTCAGTAGCAGTGCCTTCATTTGCTGAACCATCTCACTGGTCCTCTCTCTGTTCACTGAAGAGAAGTTTGAGCACTTTCTTCAGATCACAGATGTGGGTGTTTTCATCAGTGACTTCAGCTGGGGTCTCTGGTTTCGGAGCTCTGGATTTATCTTGAAAATGTAACCCCAGCTGTTAAATGCCAGCAGTTTCAAGGCTATTGGGGTTCTCAGGACCGCCTGGTAAGATCCCTTCCACAAAGGAGCCAACTGTTCTATGCACCTTCCCAGGAGGGCCCAGCCTCTTCCAGACTGGGTGTGAACAACTTCCTTCCCATATTCCTGTGGTGCTTGTGGGACTTGCCCTCTGTTCATAGCATGCTGTACCGAGTCATCTGATTGACTCAGAGCCTGAGCCCAGATCCCATGGAAAGAAAAGACTCCCATACAACAACAAGGCTGTACCAAATGTGTGTCTGTAGAGCTGTTCCATCTCTCCTGAGGAAAATGGAAGCAGCTTCAGCCATTTATCAGAGGTTTCTGGGCAAAGTTTTGGTAGGATCTGTTTAGAGCTTGGTTAAGCCTTTCAATACCACCTGAGGCTTGAGGCTTCCAATCTGAGTAGAGGTAATATTTAATCCCTAGAGTCTTGGATATGGAATGAGTCACCGGTGGTGTGAAGGGAAATCCATTAATGACTCTACTGACCAGGGGAGACAAAACCATGGGATAAAGTCCCTTAGGAGGACATTTGTCTCCTCTGTGGTCTTTTCAACCCCAGTGGGTAAAGTTTCAATCCCGTCAGTGAAGATGTCTGCAAACACTAACAGATATTTGAAGCTGGCCCGAGGAGACAAAGGAATACATTCTCTCTGCCAGTCCTCACAGGAATAGGAACCTGTCCTCTGGGCTTATGGGAGGAGTAGGGGAGGATGAGGGCAGCAGAGCTGTGAAAAGTGAAGGTGACACACACACTTTACTGTGGTCAGTCTCTACCCAGGAACAGTCAAGTCCTCATTGCTAGAGGAGCGTCCCTCCCTGGATGGAATGAGACAGGCATCCCTGAATTATCTTCACTGTAGGACCTGGAGGGAAAGCATTTTACTCGCCACACTGGTCCATGGCCTGTTTCAGTCACCAGATTATTCATGGCACCGTGGAGGAATGATGCACATTTGGTTTTGCATCATCTGTCTTTGAGAGTAGCAAACTCTCTGGGGATCTTTGACTCTCTTTCTCTTGCCTGCCTATTTCCTTGGCCATTATCAGACATGTCTTTCTGATGGCCATTTCAGTAGATGAGTGACCCTTGATTGAGAGGCCACATTGCTGCCGATAGGTTTAGAATCTCTTGTTCATGTTTTGTTATGAGTTGTTGGCTGTTAACTGTAGTGATATATTATTTATGATTTAATAAAGCTTGCCAGAGGATTCAGAAAAAAAAAGTCAGCCTCAAACTATAGAGATCAGGCAGTGGGGACACACACTTTTAATCCCAGCAGCCAGAAGTTAGGGGATAATGGTACACTCTTTAATCCTAGGACTCAGGATTAAGAGGTAGATGGATCTCTGTGAGTCCAAGGCCACCCAGAACTGCACAAGATTGAATCAGTCTAAAAGAGAATTATATCTCATACCTTCAATCCCAGCACTAGAGGGGTATAAAAGACAGGAGCAAGTATTCAGTATGAAGCATTTGCTCTCCAGCCACACTGAGGAGAAGCAGCAGTTTGAGACTTGGTTCATGTGTGGATCAGCCCTCTCAGCCTGAGCTAGAGGTGAAAACTAGTGGCAGTTGCTTTGCTTTCCTGATCTTCAGCTTGAACCCCAATATCTGTCTCTGAGTTTTATGTATTTGTGTTATAGTTAACTGTCTTCATATGTCCAGAGTTGACAGAATGGACATGCAACATCATGAGGACATACTTAAAGGCAACATCATGAGGACATACTTAAATGCAGATATTAATCTTTTTTTTTCTATACCTAGAATGAGTCCCCATATTAGAGGTCAGTTGGACCCTTGGATCCAACATGTTATGTGACAATTCAGTACACTCAATTATTGCTCTCTGGGTAACTGCTCTCTATGTCATGTACTTTCCACTCATAAGATAACTACCCTAATCAGGAAACAGTGTCCACTGAAAATGTCCAGGGGCTGATCCTGAGACAGTCTGGCTGGCACAGGTGGAGGACACAGTCTCAGCACACATGAAGTCACTTCCATGGGCACAATGAAGCATATTTGCATTAGCACAGGTTTTGATAGTTTCCTCTGGTTGTCTAGGAAGCTCCTCTGATGTTGTTAGTCTACTTCCAGTTAGCCGTATGTAGTCCTTTAATTCTAGTGTAGACTTTACCTGGTGAGGAATGAGAGCTTCTGACCATTGCCTCCCAAGACAGCTTGGGAGCCTCTTCAACTAGCAGTGTTGTGACTCCCAGAGCTTTAAAACAAGGGGCCATCCCGATGCTATAACATCTAATGTCTCTGAAAAATCTACTATGGGCAGCATTTTGTCCCAACAGTCAGAATCAATGTCCTGAGGACAATGTCTTGGTTTTCTACCTGTTTCATCTGGTTAAAGAATTGTTCCATTTGACTTTTGAAGTGAAAGGAACCCAAGTCTGAGCACTTGATAGCTCATACAGAGGTTTCCCATTAATGTAAAGTTTGGAATGCAGATAAAACCACATCCAGTACCCCATAAAGGAGAAAAGTCCATCTTTGTCTTAGGTGTAATTGGTCTACTGTGACTCGATCTACAATGAGATTGCTATTATCCTGCAAAGCTAAGATACAAACCAAACATGGCAGCTTTTGCAGAATTATCTGTGTCTTTTTCTGGGATACCTGAGAACCACAAGAGGCTAGAAAGTTTAAAACACTAATAGGGTTTTTTTTTAATTTTCCTAGGGGGGATACTTATCAAAATATCATCTGTGTGTTGTAGAATGGTTCCTTGTGTTTAAACATGTCCATAAGACATTTTTCCAATTCCCTAGCCAAAAAATGAAGGCTTTCCCTGAACCCTTAAGGGATGACTGTCCAAGTGTATTGCTCTCAATCTCCAGTGATTAGCAACTCCTGTTTGAAAGCAAACAACTACTGCTATAAATCCCTTTTAGACTGATTCAATCTTTGTAGAGCTGGGTGGCCTTAGAATCACACAGACCCATGCACCAGCACCTCCTAGCTTCTGGCTGCTGGGATTAAGGGGAGGTATCACCTCTATATCTTGAGGCTGACTTTGCTTTTCTGAATCCTCAAGCAAGCTTTATTAAATCATAAATAATACATCACTACATTTAACAGCCAACAACTCACCCATAAAATATAAGCAAGAGATTCTAAACCTATTGGACGCTAGTTAGCCTCTCAGTCAAGGTTAAGTCATCTACTGGAAGGCCATCAGAAGGACGTGTCTGATAATGTCCAAGGAGATAGGCTGGCACAGAGAGAGTCAAAGATCCCCAGAGAATTAGCATCACTACTCTTTTTTGGTTTTTTTTTGGCAAGTTATAGTTTTTGCAGTTTTTAAAATAATTTATTTGTTACATTCCAATCCCAGTTTCCCCTCCCTCCTCTCATTCCACTCCCCCAACCCCCCCACCTCCCATCTGCTCCTTAGAGAGGTTAAGGCTTCCCCTAGGAAGTCTACTAAGTCTCATTGAGACAGGACCAAGGCACCTCTCCACCCCCACACCCTTGTGTCTAGGCTGGGCATGGTATCTCTCCACATAGGATGGGCTCCACTAAGTCAGTTTGTGCATTAGTGTTAGATCTTGGACCCACTGCCAGTGGCCTCATATATTGTCACAGTCACACCACTGTCACTTATATTAAAGGAGTCTAGTTCAGTCTTATGCTGGTTTCCCATTTGTCAGACCTGAGTCAGTGATCTCTCACTAGTTCAGATAAGCGGTTTCTGTGGGATTCACCATCATGGTCTTGACTCCTTTGTTCATATTATTGCTCCTCCCTCACTTTGATTGTACTCCAGGAGCTTGGCCCAATGGT